GGGATGGTAAGTACTTACCGATGAAAGGAGCTGTGCTGTAGAGTTGAGTGTATGGTTTCTGCCCTCAGGGAGCATGTAGTCTAGGTGGGAAAGTAATTTCTTTTGTAAATAATTACTTGTAAATACATAATCTGATATAATAAAGAGGTAATATGCAAATTGACTGTCACACCCTCACACAAGATGGCCACCCCCATGTGGTCACACAGGAGAGGGCAGTTGTGGGCGATCAGGCCTGCAGGGGAGGGCAGTTGGGGTGAGCAGGCCAACAGGGGAGGGCAGTTGGGGGGGACCAGGCCTGCAGGGGAGGGAGGGCATTTGGGGGGGACCAGGCAGGCAGTTGGGGGCGACTGGGCCGGCAGGGGAGCAGTTAGGCGTCAATCAGGCTGTCAGGGAAGTGGTTAGGGGGTGATCAGGCTGGCAGGCAGAAACGGTTAGGGGCATTCAGGCAGGCAGGCTCCCAACTCCTAAACCGGCAGTCGGACATTCCCCGAGGGGTCCCAGATTGGAGAGGGTGCAGGCTGGGCTGAGGGACACCACGACCACCACCAACCCCAACCCCCTTCCTCCCCCAGTGCATGAATTTCATGCACCGGGCCTCTAGTATAAAGTATAATAAGATAAAAAATATTACAGTGACATTGATTACTGAGTTCTTCAGGACATCCTCTTTTTCAAGTACTATATTTGGATCTCTGATCGAGAGATCACATTTGGAATGATATGGTCTCATTTTTGTTTTGGAAAGTAAGGTCTCTCTAGGCCTAATCAAAGTGTTTCAGGATCAGGAAGAAAATAACTGACTCTATTCCAGACACAATGCTAGGCTCAGGGATGACACCTCACACCAGGGGTGGCCCTGCCCCAGAAGGTGCCCTGTGGATAGGATGGCAGTGCTCTTGGGCATAGCAGTGGGCTGTGTTGTGGTTCAGGTCTGTGCTGGAAGCCAAGGGGAAGCAAAACAGAGGAGCTCAGAGAGAGGGTGGATTTGAGTAGGAGAGATGGAGTATGGGCATAGCCTTGGCTGAAAGATCCACTAGGTAAACTTTGGTAGGTGAGAGTTTTATTACTGGTGGAGACAACAGTGTGGTGGTTTTCTGGGGTGTGTGAGCTGAGACCCCATGGGGAGCAGGTGGAAGATAGGATGTATTCTGTGGGCAGTAGGGGACCATTGGAGACTTTTGGCTTGGGGATGATGTGTTTAAGCCATTTTAGGAAGGTGACTTTGGAGGTAGTGTGAGGAATGGATTGATAAAGTGAGAGGCTCTCAGGTAGGGGCTAGACAGAAGCAATGAGCATTTTTTGGGCTGTTTCTCAATTCTTCAAAAATGCTAACCTTTTGGTGGTTTGGGGCAAGAAGAACCCTATATTAAAAACAAAATTTGTGGACATCTGATGCTCTCTTTTCATTTTTGTTTGTATTATTCTCACCCGAGCATATGTTTATTGATTTTAGAGAGAGAGAGAAAAAGGAAGGGGGGGGGGGAGAGAGAGAGAAAGAGAAAGTGAAAGAAACATCACTGTGAGAGCGAAATATTGACATGTTCCAGGCATAGAATCCACAACCTAGGTATGTGCCCTAACTGGGAATTGAACCGACAACCTTTTGGTGCACAGGATGACGCTCCAACCAACTGACCCACCTGGCCGGGGCCTGATGTGCTCTTGAATATATATGGTCAGCAGTTTTCATTTCACAGGTCACAATCATTAATCTCCCTCTACGCTCTGTGTTTGTTTTGTAGGTGACAGAATCCTAGCCCTGTGTGAGTTTGATTCTTGCTTGTTGACTGGCCCCTCTCCTCTCCTTCTGGATGATGTCAGAACAGGATCTGGCGGACGTGGTGCAGATTGCAGTAGAAGACCTGAGTCACCATCACCCAGGTATAGAGCTATGTGAGAGCAGATGGACTTTGTTCTATTTTTTAAAAATCCAAAAGTGTGCCCAGCTGGTGTGGCTCAGTGGTTGAGCATCTACCCATGCACCAAGAGGTCACCGGTTTGATTCCTGGTCAGGGCACATGCCCCATGTATGGGGTCAGTCCCCAGTGGGGGAGCGTGCAGGAGGCAGATGATCAATTTTGATTCTTTCCCATTGATGTTTGTATCTATCTCCCTTCCTCTCTCAAATAAAAAAGACCATATTTAAAATAAAAATAAAAATCCAAAAGTGCTTCCAGAAGTTTTCTTCAGTCTTTTAAAGAAAGAAAAAGTGATGCATGCACTGTGTGAAAGGTCCATTCTCACATGGGTAGCCTTC